CGGCCAGTACTTTGAAGTCCACAGTGATTTGTTGCACTGTATTCACACGCACTATGAAACGGCACATCAGCCACACGGTTCTCCGTCCCCTTCACACTTCTTACATCACTGTTAAACTGTGACATAGAATGGAGTTGGCCAATCTCTCGTGGATATTTGACCGTTTCCGCGTTAAATAAACACCTGAGAGGCTTTCGACCTGTGTAGATAGTGAATGATCTGGCCCCTGCCATGTGGAGAACGTGTTTCACTGCTACTCGGACTAGCAGCATGTCTGTCACTGATGAAATATTTTCTTTCAGCTGGTTTAAGACGAATAGAAAAGAATGAGTCTGGCTCTCAGCTATTATCAACAATCTGAGTTAGGACTGCCCCCCACGGCCTTATCTGATGCCGTCACCAATAATGTAAGCGGAGCATCTTGATTGGGATATTTCAGGGTTGTGGCTTTCGCCAACGATTCTTACAGCTGTGTCATTACTTCGAATGCCTCTTTTGACAACTGCAAGTCTTTTGGTTCCCTCTTATTGCATCATTCAAGGACTGCATATATTGTGCACGGTTACGTGTAAAGGGCTGATAGCAAATGATCGACCCCAGAAATCCTCAGAGTTGTGTGAGGGACGTGGGCAGGGGATACTGCTTGATGGTGTCCACCTATGTGGACATTGGTACAATCCTCGTACTGTCAGTGACGTGCGCCAGAAATTCTATTGCTTCTGCTCAAAATCACTCAAACTTTGATTGATTGTCAAGCCGTTGTCTCCTAGTTTGCGTAATACGTAATATGTGATCTTCCTGTGTGTTTGCACCTGGGCTGGCAATGAGTATGTCGTCTATGTATATTTTGGCGAATAGCAGTTCATAAAGAAAGTCATCCACAAATCTTTGGAAAGCTTGTGCAGCATTCAGGAGACCAAATAGTATCCGCACAAATTCATATGATCCGAATGGAGTTGTAATGGCTATTTTAGGTATACCTCTCTCAGCCACCGGGATATGGTGATAAGCGCGGGTTAAGTCACTTTTAGCAAATAGCGTAACTCCTCCAGGACTATTAGTTAAGTCTTGAATGTGTGGTACTGGGTACTCGACTTGGGCGGTTTGATTCGTTAGGGCTCTGTATTTCTTAGAAGGGTGTCAATCAGTATGATTTTTCTTAGGCAGCATGTTTAACATTGAAAACTAGTGACCATTCGAAGGCCGAAAAATTCCCGACCGAGGCATGTAGTGAGGTTCAACTTTTACCATTTTAAGGTTGTCCGAGTCAGTCTTCTTAGCTTAGCGAAAACTGAAAGGCCATGTGCCCTCGTGAGTAATTTTCGAACCAGCCCTAGAAGTTAAAGGGTTGGTTGCCGTCAAAGTTTGGAATTCCGCTAGTATTTATCCGGGACCTTTCGGTTGATGCTGACGGAGACTGGACTGGATTCAGCTAATGGTGCTCTCTCGCTTTGCCATTCCTGTACCAGGAGGTTTTTTCGTTGTTAAACGTCTCTTTCGAGTACCAACTAGTAAGTTATGTTTTTCTCGAAAGTCGATGCTGATGATCGCTAGGTTTAAGTTGACCACAGTGAAAACCTATCATGGCTATCATTTAAACACTAGGTTAAGGGTCAGTGTTTTCCCCTCGAGCGTCACGATATGGGTTTCATTGGTGGCCCGTATTGCGACAAGGGACTTTTGGATTTCCGGCTCGTCTTTTGTCTTTGGTATGATACTAACTGCAGCTCCTGCATCAAACAAGACGTGTATACAAGAAATTGCATCCTTGGCACGAAATACGCGATAGACCGGGCACTCGTTCTCCGTAGGCGCCAGCTGAGTAGGGGTTAATAGTTTTCATATTGCTTATGAGGAATTTTAGGCTAGGCCCGTAATCGTCTTCATTTTGTTGGCTGTGTGGTAAACTTCCAGTGGTACCAAGAGCACTAATCTGTTGATCAAGGTTGTTTGGGTCGACTCTTTGACCGAGTATGTGGTCGATCCCCCTCGGCTGTCCTGAGTTAGCTGTATTTCTGCGAGCTCTTCAGTCGGTGACTTAACGCTGGTAACTAGTTCTGACATAATTGGGTCTTTGCTTATATTTATATGGTTCATCTGCCCTTCTGTAGGTCATTTTCTGTCCAACAGCTGATAAGCAATGCATGCTAAATTTTCAAGAGGACGGTCAGGATCTTGTGCACCTAGTACTTGTTGTACATACTCTGAGAGGGCTTTTGCCCAAATCTGATCCAGTATAGCCTCTTTCATCACGCTGTTCCTTACAAGCGGCTTCAAGAGGTGCACGAACTGAGATGGGGACCTATCTATCATGTTATCCTCTTGAAGCAGCCATTATATACGCTGACTTTTAGATATGTAGAGGCACGTGGGCACTGTGTATGGCTACTCGCTGTGAGTATGGGGTATGAGGACATGCACCTCCTTGTTAATATCATCGGGTAAATGAAAATACGTCCCTATACCTGGTGTTTTCGGACTTAATTTTATACAGGTCAAAGTAGGGCTCTATTTGAGCAAACCATGGTTCCGGGTCGCGTCGATCAAATTCAGACAACTTAACATCGGTAGTTACTACAGAATCCACCTCCACAGAAGTAGAGTTTTTAAAATCACTTTCTGTTTTTGGAAACTGAGACATCATAACGGATAAAAATACTGAACAGAATAATATATATTGCAGAAAAAATCGGAGAAACAACCAAACAGATTTATAGACTGTAGTCAATAATAATCGCACCGAAAGCGAAATGTGAGAAAAATGGATTCATCAGTTTAGAAGCCGACTCTTCCATCAAAATGATCACTCAAACTACCAACCGATGACCTGTAATATTGTAGAAGACCAATGATGTTTACGAACCTTTATTTTCAGAAGCACAGCAGTGGACAAGTCAAGCTTGGCACGCTTAATCAAACAACCAGAAGGGCATTCACCACTCGACAGACAAAGGAAACCTTACAAATCGTAGAGATGTAGATCCTAATTGGTTGTCTGTTCCGTTCTTCTGAGGTCCTTTATCACATACGGCATCTGAGTGGCCATATAATATCGTGTTGTAGATGCTGCACAACGCAAGGAGATTATAAATAGCACACGTAGGTTTCAATTACCATTGTGCTAATATCCGCGTTACGAGGTATTTCAAAACTGTACGGATGCAGTACATTAAAATTTGCCAGACCTGATAAAGTAAGACGTGGTCGACGGAAATGGCAGAGTTCTGGAAATCGGATTTCCCACCCAATTTATTATTCAGGTTACTGACAGATTATTTTGTTGCAAAACACTAATTTAGCTTTTGAATATTCATTTGGAAAGCATTGTATAAGGCAAATAAATTGGGAAACCTGGCCAAAAACACAATATGGTATTCGTCCTTCAGCAGATAAATAAATCTTTGCAAATGATAAAATGGATACAGTCCCTGCTTGGCTGCTCATCCTTCTGAATTCACTAATCTCCAACGAAATGGGAGTGGTTACAGCATATTGTGTGAAAGGGAATCTGCGGTATCACGTTTCACATAATTCAGAGGAGAGGATGGATCATTTTCGTCCTTAGTAAGTGCGAAATTTATTTGACCAGTAATAAATACTGTTTACAAATATATCGAATTTTCAAAAATCTGCTTCATGTCTTCTGTCTGTATGCACGTCCTACTGAAAATAACTTTTTGTATGAATTCACAAGATTTTCGACAATGGAAAATATGGGATGTGGAACGCTGGCGGCTGACCGTCAATATTCGGCCATTGGTCAGAGGTTGTGACAAGTTGGTACGTTTGTGAACGGATCACGGAAAAACATAGATGAGAGGAACAAAAAATGCCCTGAGGTAATGGAGGCTAAGTAATCCTCAGTACCACATGGGTCTTTGTCTAAACAGTTCCATACATATTATTGTAAGTGGTAAGCTTTCATTCCCAACTAATTTTCGTTACTGGTAAAAATGTGCTATTTACGACTAACTGGTGTAAGTACCTGTTTACGATGTTCTTACACCTGGAGTCCGATGAGAAGAAAGGATGTTTTTTATATGAATGAAATTTAATGAACAAACAAGCAAGTTAAAAATGAAGCGTAGGACGGATATTTTCATCTTACCACGATTTACGGAAAGTAGAAAAATTCTCCTGATGAAGGGTGTTGAGCTCTATTATATAATGAAAATAAATGTAATAGCAGTATAAAGTCTTGGCAAAGAAGAAATGCAATAAAACGGTGGTATTTACCTATAAAATCCAAATGTAAATGACCATGTATTGGTTCTTAACTATAGCAATTATTTAATTGCGCAAGAATTATCATGCTTGCGAAAACTGGATGACATATCAGGAAATGGGAGTTCCTTTTTGCGTGATTTTCCTTCATTAGGCAATGATGCACAGCACTGTTTACCATTATATTATACATTTGATGAGCAGACAGTGGGATGTATTTACTTCAAATAACTTACGCGATCTGCATAAATCTTTCAGGTGATCAAAACTGGTCTTTAAAACCATCACCTACTTGTGCGTACAGTGGCCTCACTGTCTTGCCAGAGATGCGGACACAGTAGAAGTGGAGGGGGTAACAAGTCTTCGTGACAAAGTGTAGAGTAAAAGGTTGAGGAAACTTGGTCTATTCAAACTCGTTAACTGTTAGCCACAAGTTGGTCACTGCTTATGACCCCAACACAGTGATAACGCCATCGTTTCCCCAGTGGCGGCACATGATGGGTCATTCTCCAGTTATCCAAAAGTCGTGCGTTCATCAACTTGGACTTGCTTCGAATTTCTGGTTCCTGGTTTACATTACATTTGATGAATGCCATACACTGTTTGGCCAGAGAGCATTTAGGTGTAGAATCATTGGCACGCTTCTCGTGGTTTACGGCAGAGAAATGGCATGAATGATCATGCGGAAATGGAAGAAAGATCAGTAACCCGAGGCGTGAACTATCTCATGAAAAAGAAATTGAATATCGATTATCTCTTTGTTTATATTTGCAGTCTAGGTCCCAGGCGGTTGTCCTTGTGCAACCAGCTGTTCAACTCCTTCCGTGGTCAAGTGGGTTGGAGTTCCAGGTAGAGCAGCTGTTTTTGAGTGTCTTGGAATTGTTTGGAGTAGTTGTATATGCATACATTCAATTACATCAGTTTGAGCAACTTATATGTGCATAAGTCGTTTATATTCAAGCTTGGAGACCAATTGATTCGGTTATCCCTTAATGTGTCTGTACTCATAGGTATTTCATAATTAATCAGTATGATCATAGCCATGTTAACATTTGTTGTTAGCTAGGAGCTTTGTTTTTTTCAGAATAAGTCTGAATATTTTTAGTTGTGAGTGGAGTATAACGCAGTGACTCATGGAATGTGTTATGCTGTATTCACTGGGAATCTCATTGTAAGCACTAGTGGTTCTTTCTGTGTCCATCCCTAGCAGTATGTTTCCCTCACGTAGTAGTTTTTAATATGTGTTATTAGTTTCGTATAAATTGTCAGAAGATATTTAATTATGTAACGAATTATCCAACGAAGTGATCAGTTGTGCAAATATTCACCAAGTTTGCTGTTTAAACAAATGTTTTAGTGCGATATAGTGGGTTTAGGTACACATAGGCAACAGGGTATGTTATTTGCATTGTTTTGTAAATGAATTAGATAAATTAGACTTGTTATATTTTTTTAAAAGTGGATGTAGTCTGGTTTCCATGTTATGTGGATGACAGCGTACCTGGATACGTGTGTATATGCAATGTTTTACGAGTTTCATCGGGTCTAGCAGCTGCTTTTCATCTGGGTCAAGTAATACTCACATGTTTTAGTGTGATTGCAGAAAGATATATGAAATGCAACTACAACCTCTGCAATTTCATTGGCTTGCAAAACGATATTCTTCACAGTCATATCCATGTTGGAAAATATATGTGTTACGACAAAATATTTCTGCCTCAAATATTTGTTTAAGCTGCAGCAGTTGTAATAGTCGCTAATGGTATTAGTTGTTCGTTTTGTTAGGTAAACGGTCTTGTTCGGCGTTTATGAACTTTGTATCTAAGCTCTTATGTGAGTTATGGAAACCGAATTTTGAAAGCATACATGATTTTGGTCGCAGGGCCCTTCGCTTAGTCATCCACATTAAAAGGCGATTATATTAGGTAGCATTGTAAGGGTGAAAAATTCTACATAAGAAAACAATCATATCAATACGACCAAGAATCTCCATTGGTTGAAGTGGCTAGGATTCGAGTTATGCATACTGATTCAGTGTTTATGAATGGGCAATGTTACTGGCATTAAGATTATTTTGAAGAAAGTCAGAGCGTATAAAGTTCGAAATATGGCGCCTGTTGATGCAGTCTTTGACTATTAGTCCGGAACGTGTTTGTATAGGTTACACTAGGATGGTAATATGGGTGAAAATCATACAGTACAGTAGATGTGGTCACACGCTATCGTCAAACCTCGTGACATATTTAGCCCTTTCACACCTGTTCATATATCGTTGTTTCGTTACATTCCTGCTTTTGCGTGATTTTTGGCCTGTAAATGGTGTATTATGGTACGAATTTCCACGCCAGTTCGTTATTTATCGAGCATCAACTGCTCGTCTTGAATGAATTGAGTTTATTAGTGCTGCTATGGTTATTACCGCATGTTATTACCTGCAATTACGGTACCCACATTTAGTTGACAGTGTCCTTTTGGAAACTACGGATAAATTCCTGTATCTTTTCAAAACATATTGTCACTAAAGGGTTACAATTTGTAGTACGGTTCCCAAAAATTGGCTAGTTCGACAATTAGGCTAATAGAATATTGCCTGATTCCGACGATTGCGTAATATATTTAAATGTGTGGGGAAACAAAACTGAACGCAATTTTTTAAGACGTACTTCATTTCAAGTTGTCACTTCGTAATAATGCACAAAAAGAAAGTATATAGAAGTAAAATATTGTTGAAACGAATAAGTTGGGTGAAAGGGAAGTTGAAGATACTTCGGTAAACATATTCTGAAGTTTAACGAGGATAAAGAGTGAGTAAAGTTTCAACGTTTTGATAGAATTGAAGTCATTAACGGTAGTCGCCAAAGAAGGTCGTGTTCACATGTGTTTATCCGCCTCAGTCAATGGAAATTCGTAATCTCACTGACTGGATTACCTCGAGTTCTGTATACCCAATAGTTCGTCATTGTACCCGTCAAAGTAAGCGTAATTGAGTGGTTTTATTATGATACCCTGTTTGGCAATCAGTATACACAATATTGTTGAGTGAATAAAGAAAACTTGTAGCTCAAGGTGTTAATTATGCCTATTTAATTTCCTCTATCTTAAGTGTTTTGCCATGAATGTTTCATTGTCAGGTTATGCGAATTCATCAGCAATTTATAAGGAAGTATCTATGGCATACATAAACATGCTTGGCGTATAGTGTTTACAAGTGTTTGTCTGGAAATCGTTTCACTGCTTTATAGATTAAGGTTCAATGAAAAGTTTGCGTCTGTATTAGTCCTCAGAATGCACCAGAATATCGTTGAAGAGAATGATATAAATTGTAGTATAGACAACTAATGTCATTATGTAGTCGTGAAGCATGGGAAAATTACGTGTTAAGTATCATTATCAGCTTTATAGCATTGTTCGTGTTTATCTAAACCAGAGAATCTGTAATTGCAGGATTAGAGTGCTACTCAAGGCGTATAATTCAATTTGTGATGTGTTTAAGCTCCTCTAGTATATTTTTCACATATTAGCTGGTGTTTATCCATACTGAGTTCCTTTAGACCCGAAATATCATACACATGATAGTATTTCATCACAGTTAAGTCAATTAAGAAGAAAGTACTTCATTGCACGGAATTTTCGTAACTGCATATGTCTTGAAATCTGTTACGCTGCACAGAATACATATACGTAAACTTTAGCTCAAAACTTCTGTATGATCGATTGACTGACTGGTTTCAATGTAGAACTTCTCACCGATGTGCAGCAGTTCAAGTTGTCACACTTCACGTAGAATTGAAATGATGACCTGGTTTTGTTGCCACTGCATATTTGCCCATTATTCTCTTGGGATTATGGCTATCTTTTCTCTCACCCATTTTATAAAAGCACAATCACTAGTAATCGCGTTTTAAGTGTGACCGATTAACGCAGCAAAAATAAATCGTTTATATCCCCATTAATTCACCGTAAAAACTATATTTAAATTTGATTTTCTGTTATGAAATTGACCACAATCGCAAAAGTTGTGGCAAAAATCTCTAAACCGTGTTACTTCAATAGGTTTATCGCTTCGAAGAAATATGTCAACAGTTAGACTTGTAGATTGATTAATAATTGAGTTTTCATCAAGCACCAACCACTTTTATTACAAAATTACTTCAGTATTTTAGTCATATTTCGTCATAGGATGCACTCTGTCACCACTACTACTGTAAGTTTGCATTTCTAGGTATAAATTCCTTTAACGTTCGGAATATGTCGTTAATTATTCAGAAGCACTAAATGTCTATAGTCGATACTGCTTAACCACCAATAATTTCTGTGTTGACATTGAATTGTCTGTTCTATAAATGGTTGGTTACTGATACTCCTTCGTAGTTGTCATTTTGCAGTTAATTTTACCAGTCTCAGTTTGCTATAATAGTCCTGCATATACCAGTTAACGCCGTCTCTGGCGTAGACGTGATATCCGACTATCGACCAAAGGGCGTGTGTACTGCTCAGTAGTCCGCTCCGTCCTCATTTATAGCTGTGAGACCTGGCCATTGAGAGTGGAACACATGAAAAGACCGACTAGCTAGCTGTCTTTGATCATAGGTGCCTGCGTTCTATCTCCCGCTTGAAGTGGTATAATAAGGTGAGCGATATTGAGGTTAGGCTTCAATCGAGTGCTAGGTAGTTGGGAGGGGAAGTCAATCGATGAGGCTGTGGAGTGACATCGACTGAGATGGTTAGGACATATGTTACGCATGGCTAGCTATCGCCTTCCTCGACAATGGGCAATGTTAGCTGACATAAGGTCAGGTTGGAAAAGAGCTAGCGGCGGTCAAACGAAAACATGGCACCAGTCAATGAAAGATACAACAGTTAGTCTAAGCCACGTAGGAAGGTGTGGACTTCCTGACTGGTTGGGGTCCTCGGGACGGTAAACACCAATGGTTGGAAACAATTGGTGACATGGCTCAAAATCGTTCTCACTGGCTGGTGCAGATGCATCCACTCCTTGTGACTTATGATTTCCAATGAAACTTTTGTTCTTCGTTATTACTATTCCTTTGTCTCACACCTCTGTTTACTGTCTCTTATATGCATTTCTCCTACTTTCTTCTCTTGCTTTGTGTGCTACAAGGAGGGAGTGTGGCGACTTGAACTGCCGCACATATGTGCAAAGTGCTATGTCGAAAACAGACATTATAGTCCTTAAAAGCTACTCTGTTGTCCAGAGTAGAGGAAAAGGTGAGAAATGAGTGTATTTGAAGTGATTCTGATGATTTATTCAGCGCTAACATAATGTGTGCAACATGTGACGCACTACTGATTAATAAGTGTACTTGAAAACCACTTGCTTCCAATCATTGGTACCTCCAAGTTTTTGTAAAGGAGTCTTTATTCGAACAGTAACTAAATGACTATACCTCTTATTAGGAAGGATAACTATCTAGTAATCACATTTGAAACTTAATGGAAGCCGAAGCTGTGGTGTTCTCGAACCATAGGTTTTTTAACACATAAACTATCATGGTTGTAGTTTCTTTTCTCTTTCGGCTTATTACTTCTTCCTTATTGAGCAAATTCTTTTTTTCTTTTCTCAGAAACCTACAGAATGCAGACAAGTGAAAATACTAATGCCACTACAGAGGGAGATAATTCATTTTTGGATTTTTTAAACACTTCTGATACGGATAATGATGAATTGAAAGATGTTGAAAAGGAAGTGAAAGAAACTCAGGAGGATGATACAGCCAATGATGAAGCCTCTTCATTAACACTTTCTATTACAAATGTTGTTGTAATGGCTAGTATGAAGTGTCATTTACGCTTGAAAGAAATAGCCAGAACTAGTGTTGATGTTGAATATAAAGCTCTTCAAAATGTGAGTTTTGATTGTGTTTTTTTTATGCGCTGCCTAATAATGTTATATAAGTACAGCAATGAATAAAACTTAAAAATGCCTAAGGTGTACACATTTCCAGAGTAACATAACATGAATCTTTGTTAGTTAGATAACTTTACCCGTTTCGTTTGACAGCCGATCAGGAAGACTAATATTTTATACGTAGAGTGTTATCTCCAGTTTGTTTGTTTCTCTTAGAGTACACAGTGAGTAGTTGACGATGAAAAATGGTGATATTAGATGGTTGGGGACAATCAGCAGGAAGCCTTGGACCTAGGTTTCGTGCTAGTTCTCACTCGTCAGCAAGGAGTATCTGAAACTTTGAAGGAAGGCATGTCTCTTCTGAGATTCGAACACGCGTCACCCAGTGCTGCAGTCAGAGACGTTACCACTGAGATATTCCGACTGGCGATTGACCTCTTGCAGGACTGCCGATGAATGTAAATTAAGCTTCTCTAGTAGTGTACATATTGTGTTGCACTGTTTTATATCCCCCTGCTAGTCGGTGAGAGCCACATGGCATACTTTCAGGATATTTGAATATTATTTTGATGACTGTAGTCTTATTCGTGCGGTCATTTATTCTTGTCTTAGCACAGTCTATCACCTAGTGGAATTACCATTTAATCTAGTGATTAAGGCGAGAAAAGCTTAGGTTGTTACATAATATCCTAATTCTTTTTGTAAGAGAAGTGTTTTCATATCAAATGCCTTTTAGACCTCAAAGTAAAGTCCATTCGTCAGCTGTTCTCCACAGTCTAGTATGGCGTATTAAATACTTTTCAAACTATTTGATACTAGATTTAATATGAACAACTAAACTAACCCCTTAGGTTGTAAACCTAGTTAGTTTACCAAACAACAAATTTTACTTTTAATTGAATTTTAGATTCCACTGCTAGTCACCATCCACCAATTAAATTTTACTTTTAGCTGAAAAAACAAAATGTGACGTAACATACCTTATTTAATGAATAATCACCTATTACTCAAGTTAAATCTAGCCACAAGTTTTGAAAACCTACTATTGCGCCCACGTAGGGTATATTTGTGCTTAAAGATAAAAGAAACTATCTTTTGATTACACAGTAATGTCGTACGATTCAACTTATTGTATGGAGATATGATCTATTTTTTAGTTGAAGCCGTAACTTAGTAGTTACAGCCTGTTAGTCTACTCTGGCTACCAAGATTATATCATAACATATTTTTTTCTTCATTTTCATCATAGCATGTTATAATGCGTTTACGATCCCCGTATACAGTGGCGACAATTTGGTCTAGCGGAAAAATATGGTGTACTGGAGCTAACTCGTAAGAATGCATTTTGACTTTGTAGTATTAATTACAATTCATTTTCTTTTCCGCCTTTTTTTCCTTATGCTACGTTTGTTATTATTTTCATTCATACTTAGCTGTATGTCAGGCACTGATAGACACGCCACACACACACACAAACAAACGCACTCAAACACAAGAAAATAAAAGTAATAATTCATCACTGATAATAAAGCAATTGAACAATTACATAAATATCTGTCTAACTGACTGGTTTCAACACAGAAGTTTACATACCTCTGCAGCAGTTCCAGTTGCCACACTCCCTCGATGTACCACACAAAGTAAGAGAAGGGAGTAAAGCAAGATTCGAAAGAGAAAGACACCTATGATCAAAGACAGCTAGCTAGCCGGTCTTTTCATGTCTTCCACTCTCAATGGCCATATCTCACTCACAGACATGAAGAAAGACAGAGCGAAGTGACTGCTGAGCAGTACACACGTCCTTGGGCCGACAGCCAGCCATCCATCCAGCCGGATATCACGTCTACTAATCCAGAGATGGCGTGAGTTCTTGTCAAATGACAAACGAGCCTTTTGTATCTGTGCTGAGATTTTGTCAGCGATCAACCCGTTGGTTCTTGCTGATGCAACACTCCACCAACCACTGCACTGCTGCCTATCTTTAAGCTGAGAGTGAGTTGATGTAGTCCAGTCCAGTCCAGTCGTGCTGCATCATCTTACATTTGACGGGAGCTAATCTCATGCCAAACATTCGAAGATTGTTGCTCAAGGTATTCAGAAGACTTCGTCGGCGTCTTCACCTAGGAGGACTACATCATCAGCATATTCTAAGTCACCGAGATTATTCCCTTGTAATAAGTCAATCCCTGAGTAGCTGAAGTCAGTTAGGGTTAAGTCCATTAATACATCCTTGATGAAATTAAACAGAAATGGGGAGAGAGGGCATCCTTGACGGACACCACTAGTTGTCACCACCTCAGATGACAATTCTACGTAGGCTGTCACCTAGCTGTATGAGTTCAAGTAGGGTACCTTGATCAACTTTTAATGTATTTCCTGTGTTTGAAAATAACACTGTTACATATCTCTGAGGCAATCACTGAAGTTCAAACATTTTCAAGGATGTTTGGTGTGTGATATTTGTACTTCAGTGTAGTGTAGGAATAAATTGTCACTAGGCCAACCTTTTGGTTGCATCAGTACTAATTCTTAGTCTCGGAAGAAGGGGAATTCAAATTGTTATTGAATAAGAAAAATAATTACAGTAATGTGGTCAACCAAAGTGTTGTCCTATTTGAGAGAGAGATTATTTTTATTTGCCATCCTCATTCTTCTCCTTTTCTCTTACTAATGTTAAATATGGTGGTTTAAAAAAACTAAGAGAAGAATGAAGAAAATGACTGCGCTGGTAATTCACTGGTGGAACACTCTGCGGTCATGCATAAAGTCCAAGTTCGACATCCCTGTTCGGCACACTCCTGGACCCTTTGGCAGTTGATTTACTAGCCGGAATCAGAGAGGCGAAATGACGTGGGCTGGTGAAAGCATTCGGGAAGCCCGTCAGTCGATGTGTCTTCTCTCGATGAAAGTAAGAATAGGAATGGGGACGCGGAATGTACGTACAATGTACGAGGGTGGCTGGGAAGGCTGCCCGGGTAGCCAACTAAATAGGAAGATCTGGCATAGAAGTGCTGCGTATTTGCGAGAGCAGATGGAGTGGATATGGATTATCCAAATTGTCAACTGGTGATTCAGTAATCTACCCAGATGACAGTCACGAGCACACTGAGGCAGTGAGTGGCTGTCATGATGTCACCAGTGGCAGCCAAAGCCTTAATGCAGCGGGGAACAATTTCATCCAGGATCATGACAGCAAGATTCAATTCAAAAGGAAGGAAGGTTACAACTGTCCAATGCTACGCACAATGCTACAAACAACGCAGAACAAGAGATTTTTACCCGAGGGAATAATAATAGTAAGCCTGGAAAGAAGGGAAGCTTGAGCGTGGGACTAGCAATGACACCCTACAAAAACACAACACCACCGCCGCTAAAACTTCAAGACCTGAAACCCTATGCTCCTGTAGGAATACAAAGAGATGAAAGACCTCCACAATACACGAGCGGTGGGTTGTTAACACCTGTTGACTATTTGTGCGCTTCTGTGATGGTGTCTGTTCACATGTGGAAATTCTTCACAAACCGTAAGCCATCGTATTGTTGCCACTGGGAAATACAATAGTTTACTCTAATTGAGGTGATTTTATGCAACCTTTCTTTGAGTACTCCTGTGTATGTGTATTTTCCGCATAAAGCACATGTTATAAGACTGTTTTTATTTACTAGTCATGTGATATACATTTATAGAGAAGCGGAAAACTTGTTTTAGTAATAATAATAAAAATAATAGTAATAATCTATACGCCTTATCACCTGTTTATACATATGGTGACAATTGTGTATATATATATATATATATATATATATATATATATATATACAAGTAAGTGAAGCTATAGCTAGCTAGCTACCAGCTCATTGGTTTTAGCCGTCAACCCCCCCAATCAACTGGGTCACGGGTTTAAATCCATCCCACTCCACCTACCGATGTTTAACCAACCAGGTTGTAAGTATCATTAGCCTCTTTATATTAACAGACATGAGAATTTCATTTTTGAGTAACATTTCATCACATTTTTCGTCTAAGGCTTATTGTCACCCCTCAAATACACTTATGTGTATAGTCTGTTTATTGGTTACACAAATTGTGAGTAAGTTGACTTGCAAGAGTGGGATACATGTTCGTGAAACTATTGTAAACATTAGTGAGCCTTAACTTTGAGTTCCTATAAGAGTAATTATCTACTCTTAAAGAGGAATAATCTTCATCTAGGTAGGTTTGTTTTTTTCCCAAAGTTATGGATTACCAGGCACAATTGATGTTTACAGCATGGAACGAAAGGGTATGCGTTATACTGCCGTTTCTCAACCAATAGTGTGATAATAAGTCGAATAATAAGGCTCAATAGTTGAAACAGTCGACTTTCAGTCGCCTGGTCCCGAGATCGGACCCCTCCTTGCTCTTATCTCAATCTGCACAGCTAGGTAGTTTCGCTAGTGGTACACAAGTGTGTGACTCATAGCCAGCCCCTTTGGTACATGAAAAATCTGTTCCGAGTAACTGAATTAGAAAAACACTGCGAATCCAGTCCACTAGGTGCCAACAAGTCTGTGTGTATGTGTGTGTTTGCATCATTCCTAACTTTTAGCAATCAAAAGTATATGTATGCTGTATAGTGTTCTTGTGTACTATTCAAACGAATCATGTGAAACTATGGCTGAATGGTAACTAGTTCCATTCTAAATGTGGATAGTGATTGATAGACCACTACGATCTTAGTTAAAGCTGACCATTAAGTAATCCTGTCATCATAGTAGTTGTAATTACAATAAAGTTTAACCGTAAGTAATTGGCACTGGTCACATTTATAACGTTCAGGTTCATGCTCCATGGACAAGGTGTTTTTTGTTTGTCATGGGAATGCTTGCTTTCACAATATTGTGTAGATCATCGGGTGAGTCGTGGTGTAGTATTTTGTGTCATACTGTTATTGTATTTAAGTTCTTATTTAATTGTTATTGATTCACATTTTCACTTCACTTGTGTGTTTTGTAGACTTGTCAAGGCAAAAGTTGGCGCACGGCGTATTGCTAGACGAATAGCAAAATGTGGTTTCCCGTGCCATTTCAGTAAATATCGTGTCGTGAATATTATGGCTACTTGCAGACTACCTTTTGGTGTGAGATTAGCAGATCTAGTTAGAGAAAGACCGATGCAAATGAGGTAATGTATATATGCATAAATTCCTACGGCTTTCATTTTATACATGTTGTATTTGCTTAGGATAGTTGTATGCGTTTAATGGCTGGAGACAAATGGTGATATGGCTCAAAGTGATCGTCGTCAATGGTTGGTGTAGATGCATCCACTCCTTGTGACTTATAATTTCCAATGAAACTGTATTATTCTTCGATATTACTATTATTTTTGCGTCATATGTCTGTTTACTGTCTCTATTTTGCGTTTCTTTTTACTTTCTTCTGTTTCTTTGTGTGCTGAGTGAAGTGCGTCGACTCGAACTGCTGCACATCGGTGCAGAGTTCTATGCTGAAACCAGACAGACAGAAGACAATTATTGATGAAAGTCTGTAGCCTGTTCGAAATACTTTTGATGACACGCTAAGTCTCTGAGCCATATACAACCACTGAGTGACTTAACATTGGTGTTGAAATTCGAATTTTGTTCTTTATGCTGAGTTCAGAAGACTTGCTAACTGATTTCACAGTGATGAAGGTCTGCCTTGCCTTTCCGATTCTGGCCTGCTTTGACTGCCTGTTGTTGCAACGATGCTGCCTAGTTAGATTAGTGAAGGAAGTGATAGTGATGGGTGTTTGCTGTTGGTGGTTGGTTATTTTCATCACCTCCACCCTCTTTATGTTTACTTGAAGTCCTGTCTTCGCAGTTAGCCTCTCCTACCAGTTTGTTGGTTTTCGCTTGTAGGTCTTCGAGTTTGTGTGACATTAAACATAAATCGTCCGCAAAATCTGCCTTCTAAACTCGTCTTATTGGTCCAACGTATATTTCTGTCTTCTCGCTCCCAACATGTTGTCCTCCGCATAATCCAATTTACCACAGTTAAGGATACCATAGGTGATAGTCGGCAACCAAGCTTGTCTTACTCCCATATTGAATTCAAAGGCTTCTTGGATGAGTTTCCCATTGTGGATCACCTGACATATGTCATTGTCACACAGCTGGTGAATAAGGTTGATAAAGATTCGGGCTACTGCACGTCATACTGTTGAAGCGGTTTGAGTTTTTCATTTAAGTCAATTATTATTATCACCGTGTAGAATTTCACCATCCTTTGAGTGTGTGTGTGTGTGTGTGTGTGGCTGTTTAATCTGTTGTCACACTGCTTGAAAGCGTATACAAAGGAAGTGAATATAAGCCAAATGCTGATTATAGAATCGCCTGAATGAAAATTGGGAATATGAAACATCAAGTAATCACATTCCACGCTTACACACCCACCCACATACGCACACACACACACTGACTGGATGTGTAGTCTGGTTAGACTCAAACGGTGTTACATGCTTTACGTGTTTATTCATAGCCAATTTAATTAGGGTTTTTTTGTGCCTCTGAAGACCTTGACAAATTTACCATTCAAAAGTACATTTTGAGGAATAAATCAAAGCGTCTACTCTCAAAGCTACAAGTGATTTATAACCGTTCCAAATAACGACTAGTAGTAAGGCGTTGACAATTTTGAAGCTGGCGAATATTAAGACACATGAATTCTCCCCGTTACTAGACTAGCTCGTAGACCAGTAAGCCTCTGGGAACCGACCCAATGGCCCAATATATATATATATATATATCACGAATTGGCAGAAGTTGGAGTTCATGGGTCGTTGGATCAGATCCCAGTGACTTAATTGTCTATTAGCTCGTCTTATAACCGGAAGCTTCTGGTTTCCAACCCTGGTAGTGTTTGTGTACTGATAGAGAGTTGCAAACTAGGCCAACGAAACAGCTGTCTAGTACTCCAGTGTCAGTTTTCCGATGGTTTTCTAACTTATTTATTTATTTATTTAAACGCAGAAAAAAACTTGGTAGAATATGGCACCAAGAAAGATGCGCCACACAATAGTAATAAAACAACATGGATCAAAAGTAAAAAATATAAGTAGAGAACGGGTAAAGAACTTCATCTGGAAGGAAAACAGTTATACTTAACAAGTTCAAACAGTATTCGTCAGCTGTCATTGGGAAGGGAAGAAAGAAGGAAATTGCAACACGTTCGCCATTGATTACGATTCTTGGCCATATCTGATAACGTTTCGAGCCATCGATTCGAGTTATCTCGCGGACCCCAACCAGGGAGTCGTGACGCACCAACCGATGCTAATCTAGCACAAATATCCTTCATCCCACGACGCCACGTCATGGAATGACCACCTCTCCGCCTTTTCCATCCCATCCCAGGGCTAGCGAACAGAGACCTGTACGGAAGCCTCTGGGATGACATTCGCAGCACATGCCCCAATCCACCGGAGCCGGTGTTTCCAGATTGGTTCTCTAACTGGTGTCAGCTCGTGATCTATTCTGTCACTTATCAAATCCCTGAAAATCAATACTTGACATATGAATTCCTTGAGAGTTACTAAGTATTTATTGGTAACGCTTTAACAATGAAGGTGAGATAACCTGCCCAGCTTAGATCAGTAGTCATCAACTGTGATGACTTGAAGTATCCGCTTTGTAGTTTTGCTTTTTGGGTGAAGTCTACCCCTTCACACGTATACTGTTTTATATTTGGTAACAGGAAATATCCGTCGAGTGGCTTTTTTTAACCCTTGCAATTCAGTCACATTCGTGCTCACTTAATGATTCCACTTTACCGTAGAAATGTTATGTACTGTCAAAAATACCTACGCATTCTAGGCGTATTATTATTACTATAATATGATTTTATTCTCTCCTGTATTACTTACTATATTACGATTACTTTCTTCTGTTTACCAGCCTGTTTTAAATTTCCTGTTTTCTTCCCATTTATGCATATAGTTATGAACCTGAGTTATCTCCTGGTCTCACCTTTAAAATTGATCCTAATTCAAGTACATCTCTTAAACTTTTTTCCACAGGACGCATTGTTATTATGGGTAAGTGTATAGTGTGTTCATAAAACCTTTTTGTTCATAGTTTTTGTCCATTAGAGATATTTTATTATTATTATTATTGCTATCACAAAGGATTATAATTTTGTATATTTTCGTTAATATCTATCGCCTTTTATTGGTTGTAATTAATTAACCCTTGTTATAACTGCCTACATCACAATTATTGGTCCAAGCTGGACGGACATTGGAGGCTAAGGGGGTGGGGGAAACTATTGAATATATGGGAAAGAACATCATTACAGCTGTGATTCCACACTGGTCTGTAGTAGATTATCCACCTCTGGATCAGAAGCTCAAATCCCATTGGACTAGGTATATTTTAGACAACCATGTAGAGTATCACCAACGTTCTCATAATATTTGAATAAAGCAATAACAACAGTGGCTTGTGCAGAATAAGATGGTACCATCATCTGTTTCTTTAGTGTCCCCTATTAGCTGCTTACAGGCTAAAGAAATTACTAAGTTTATGCGTGGAACAATTTTAACATACTTACTCAGAGTTCAAATGTAAACAGAAAATCATTGTATGCATTGGTCAAGGAGTTACGTAATAAAGACAATGAGAAGACGTCAAAGCCAAAGATTATATAGTCAAATGAGAGAGGTAACCAGGGCAAGGAAAGACCCATAACTACTTCTTTCTAACACATAAGTCGGGTTCCAAGCCTTTTATAGAGATTGCTTCAGCCCACTTGAGGAGAATTGAACTACTTTGTGAATTGATAATCTTAAAGGATTTCGCGATGCCCCCACCTCATGACCTGTATTGATGAGATGTCTAGCAATGGTACTGTTGTAAGTGCTTGCTCCCTTCGGTACACTCCATAATGGATAAGATTTTATTTTGATAAATCACACAGTGTAGTACAGTTATATTAACTGATGACGTTTCGAGCACAAACTATTGCTCATAATCATATCAAGTTACTCACACAACTTCTTTCCTTCATTTATATACATGAGTGGAATCGACTAGATATTGGAATAAAATGCAATATGAGATAATGTACATTCAGAAATAATAGTACGAGTGTTATTAATCCATTGCAATTAGATGGGAAATTCGACGAGTGTTTTTATAGTCATAATAAGTTGATTGTTAGAATGTGTTGATGTGTTTGAATGGAAATAGAATTTTAAGATTATTTATTATCCTCTTCTGATTTGACTGGTGGCAATAATACGAGTGTTATTAATCCATACTTATACCCTTCGGTACATGTTTAGAAAATCGGAGGTGTACCGTTCTTTCTGTTCTCCCAGTGTAATCGCTCCCACAGATACTTGTAGATTTGTACCAACAGTGAGAGTTAACATGAGGAGGGTATGGGTCGAACTTTGATTGCACCAAAAAGCAAGTAGCCCGATAAACGCAAACCAACTCAGCTGCAGGATAGGTTCTGGCTAGTGAGGTATTCAATCACCTGTCGACTATTCCTGCATTATTATCACGTATAAAGTCGAGTTGAGTGAAGATAGACTTTTTCCTCACTATGATTTTTTTGTCACTAAAGCCTTCATATCTTCCGTACTTGTTAATGAATTTCTAGGTAACCTGTTTTTCAACATCTCTTCGAGAATCAGAATTTCTTCCTCCAATTTGTCTGTAGAGCATATTTTCCTGACTCTATAGGACAGAGTTTTGACCAGTGCTCGTTTATAGCTATTTGTACGAAAACTGTTAAAATGGAAGTATTGTTCATTCCATATCGGCTTTCGGTTAATTAATCTCTATAGGCTACCATCGTCCAGGTGTTGTATGTTAGTGTCAAGGAAATGAAACTTTCCATCATTTTCAAGTTCTATAGTACATTCAATATTTATTTGTGCGTCGTTGACTGATCCGAGTAGGTAGGTAGGAAGCATGAATTTCATTGTTGCACACTACAAATGTTGTATCTTCATGTCGACAATCAGTAGTTGTTTCGTTGATTGCATACTTCAGCTTCCTTCTCTCAAGGTTGAACGTGAAGATGTCTGCTGAAACAGGGCTAAGTGGATTGCCCATAGCTACATCATATGTTTGGCGGTAAAGAGTGTTGTCAACAGGGGTGCGTAATTACCAGCTATATAGGGAAGTACAAGTGGTCGTTGACTGGAACACGAAAGGGGCGTGTCTCAGTGGTTAGGACTCTCGCCGACCATGCACATGGTCCGGGGTTCGATCCCCTGCCGGCGCACACCCGATATCTATGGTCGGCCTGAATTTGCGCTACCGATATCCATGCTGAAAATTCCACACTTGTACTGAAAATCCGGTGTGGAATCAAGCTGTAAATCAAAATAAATAAATAAATTTCACAGCTTGTTCGGTTTTCAATCTCTCTTCATTAAGTTTTTTGATGTTTAAATATTGTTTACAGGTTCAAGTTTGGATGCAATTGGTTCACTGGTCGAAGAATTAGTCCCCATAGCTGCATTGCATCAAACTGATGAACCTATACCAGATGCTGAAGATATTCCTGACAATGATGAAACTCGAGCAGCTTTAAAAGCAGCTCGATACATGAATATGATGCCAGACGATGGATTCGGTGGCTTAGCCTATCATGTTGATGAGGAATATGGGAATAGCGATGGAAGTGATGGTTTTGAGTATGTTGTACGCAATGGCTTTTCAACAGATGATTCTACTGATAGTGGAGCTTCTATTGACAGTGGAGGTGTCAGTACTAAACCGAAGCGTTATGTTAAACGTAGAATACGCATACCTGACTCCACTTCATCCTTTTCTAAACTACGAGGTTATAATTCAATGCAGTCTGGACCTCCGCTTCATTTAATGACCCCCAGAGAAGCTGCTAGTTTAGCTTACGCTAAACGTATTGCTGGAGATGTTGAAGGAGCTCGTGGTATAGTGGCAGCAGCTGGTGAATTAAGACGTCATCATGAATTACTACAGAGTTCAGGTCGAAATATCGTATCAAACAATGTCCAAAGAGAAGCTCGTTCAAATTTCCCTCAGAATGATCCTACATGGTGTCGAAAAGCAGTAGCCTCGGGTTCTACTAAGCGTGCATGCGTTGTCACCTATTCTGGAACAGAGGATAGTGAAACACAAGATACTGGTAGTAATCCTGAACTGCATAATCAAGTTTTTCTTCAACCTACTGTTTCTTTACTTGAACAACATCAACAACAGTTATTACAGCAGGCACAAATCTCTCAACAACAACAGGTTAAGTTTATCCATACACCCTCTATGATTTCATCATTAAATCCTCCAAACACTGTCCCAGTATCTACTGTAATTACTCCAATGAATACAGTTTCCAATTCTCTCCAATATGTTTATATTAAACCATCTACAAGTCTTGGACAAACTGTTTATAATAATAATGTACTTCCTACTGCTCAACCAACTATGCACTTTTCTACTACACCACAGTCGATAACACCGATGCAAACTAATTCCCCGCTAATGCGTCTGTCTATGCCTACATCAGTTGGTATAGTGAATGGGCAAAATCTTCAAACAACTGTAACATCATCCTCTTTGTCGTCGTCATCACCAGCAGCAGCAGCAGCTACTGTTTACCCAGTCCGTTTATCCCAAAACACTCCAACTAATGTTATCTCACAAAATGATGGAAAGGTTAGTCTTAAATATATGAAGTGTTTAACTAATAATAATGCTGTTATAATCAAATTACAATGAGACTAGAGATAAGCATACTTCTCCCTCCCTATATATATATATATATATATATATATGGGTTTCCTGTCTGTGTATATTCTCTTCTTCATGCATGTGAACTTAATTTTTACGTTGAAGTATCGTACGGTCTTCTTGTAGTTGTCTTCCCCCCCCTGAAGAATATAATACACGTGAACTCTAATTACTACTTGTGAAGAAATTGTAAATCTGCATTCGTATATATCGGTGTGTGCGTGTTTGTGTGCCTATCTAACCTAACTAACTTGTCGACATTTGATTTCCTACAGCTAAGTACACGTGTGTGTGTGTTTGTGTGTCTCCGCCATTCCCTGCCATATTTCCACTTCATTGATGATGATATCAAGGATGTGTGCAAATTAAGTATCTCAAGATTTCATTAATCCCATCTTTTCTTTTAACCACTGTCATTCACAAAAAGTGTCTATGGTTTTAATCCTGCTTATATATATACATATATATTCACACTTTTCAATATGCATTGCCTATATCTGTACTCTCCTGCACTGTACTGTACTGTACTGTTTTCATTTTTCTCTTGTGAATAATTTCTTCACTCTCATATATATGTATTATTGCCTAGTCCATTTCAACAGATCATCAGATTTATATATATACATAAATTCTCCCATGATTCCTCTTTTTATCGCTTGCGTTTCTGTACTTTAAATACACAAGAGAGAGTCGCAACACAATGACTGTGGATTTTTGCTCGCTTATCTTGAAGCATGTACACACATATATATTTATACGTATATACAATTGTGCGACTTTATGTATGCCTGTTGTTTTCAAAGAGTCAGGAGGGAAAACTCTTTATGCGTCGTTATTGCGTTGTCATGTGGGATGCGATGGGATGGAGGCGTTATCCTGTTCGATCTATTTTGATGAACGCTAGGTGCTAAAACTGTAAAAAGGAATCGTGTATAGGATGTTAAAAGTATGTGCGTCGGTGGCATAGCGGTTAGGACGCTCGCCGACCATGCATGTGGTCCGGGGTTCGATCCCCGGCCACCGACGCACTCCTTTACCTCACTAAGCCAGAAATAATGCTGGTAAAGAGGAAAGGTTAGGCATGAGGCTAGCAACCCCATCCTGTAAAAATAAACACGGCTACAGAACCTTCAAGCAACTAGCTTGAAGCCTTATGTTCCACCTGGGAACGAAAAGGAATAAAAAAAAATGTTAAAAGTATAAAGAGAATTAGAATTTCGGCTACACAGGGTTGTTCACGAGTTGACAGTGGTTAGAGAAGCGTTGGAAGGAAAACCAGCACTGGAGTATACTTGGTCAGCCGAGTTTGGGACTCCTCATCAGTGCTCACCCACTGCGCCAGGGTTCGAACTGAGGACTTTCAGGTTACAAGGTCAAATCCCTGTAAATCAATACCTGATAATTAGGATATTCTTCAAGGTTGGGTGTATCCGTCGTCATCTATCTTTTGTGGGTGTGTGTACTTTAGGAAGAGGAGAATGTGTTCAATTTGAAGACTCGTATGAATCATTAGTTTTCCTCCTTAGCATGTGGAATAAAATTCCGATTTATTGAATGAAGCCAACCACACCTGTTTTGTGTAATTGTTTCATCCAGCATGCATGTTACTTTGAGGTTAAATGGCGACTTCTTCTCTGTGTGTGTGTGTGTGTGTGTTATGTACTAACTCATTAGCAGGAAGAAACTAATTATTCTGGTATGTACACACATGTCGCATGTATATGTGTGCCAAGTGTTGTGTCAGACAATGTTATGTAACAGTTTTATGTCATTGTGTAGTCATTCTGCATATATATTTTACTGGCTGTTTTCTGTGTTATCTACGTATATTACTTGTGCTGCATATTTCTGCTTTGTCGCGGCTGTAAGCGTGTTTATTTAACAGTATATGCATACTACACAATAGTTTTTGTCTGGTTACAATGTATAAGTGGATTATTATATTTCCATTGCCTACACCACTCTGTTTGGGACATAAGGTTTCATTCGTATACTGTCATTCCACTCTCTCGGTTCTTCTTTGTTGTTGACACTTTCACATCAGTTAGCTGGCTCGACAACTACCACTCACTACTTCTATATGTCACTTGTTCCTTAGTTCCTGTTCCTGTAAAGGGCCTAGAGGTGTAATTTCATTTAAATATCTCCTCGGCGTATGTACTATTCTCTATATTTGTTGGACAATAGATTCTTGACTGACTGCTCTCTGTCAGAGTTTCCAACCGGCTATTTGACTTTCACTATGGAACTAATGACGACAAGTACTGATGGAAGTCTCCAGTAGCCTGTTTTAAATGCATTGACTTGACACTGGTTTCCTGTTTTGAGTTCGTTAGATCTCCATAGATAGTGACAGACAGACAAATTAGCTCATCGTCAGTGTGTGAATTCGAAACGTCGGACTGTTGTATAATTAACAAATTGTGTTATACATTAGTAAGTCATGAAAGAATACACCCAATCGTATAAAGTTTTTAAGTTGAAGAAGTAGGATATGTGATACTATCGTAGGATTGATTTATCGAATTGAAGTTAAAACGCAATGGAGACGCTAGGATCGCTGTGAACCTCTGAATACGATATAATTTCTTCAGATAGAATCGTCGATAATACGTCATTCGATGTTCTTTTTATCACTTTCTCTGAAGCACTTTACAACCCTTCACACGATGTTTTATCTTTCGTTTGCTTGGAAAAAGGAGAATAATAGATTGGAAAAAACAAAAACTGAGAAATCATGTGCTGAGTTGAGAGATACAACGTAAGATGATGGCAATAAAAAAGCCCCAGTGTTATGAAGTTGTTCACTAGAAAATTTCGTACCATGATGATGCATTAAGCCGGTCGTCGCTCTCTGTGGTTGTAATTTTTGCATTATTTTCCGTATCCTTCCTCTCAAGGACCATCTAATGCTACTTATAAAACCAGTAGTAGAAGTAGCGTATGTATTAATGTCTAAATCGCTTAAACTAAACCGAATACAAGAGCGAGAGAGACTTCGTGTGTGTTGTTCAACCGCTTCAATAATGACGACTATAAAAGCAAATCTGTATTGTGTTAGTCATATGCTCAATTCAATTGGTGCGGCGTCTAGGGATTCGAAATCACTCACGTCGCCACCTGATGATTCACCCCAGTAAACCTTCATATTTATATCGTAAAGTGTTATTCATAATTGATTTAACAAATAATCTGTTGACCTGTTAGATTTCGCTGCATGTGTATCCTTGTTTTAAAGGAAGTAGCACCCAGAGTCGGAAAGTCAACTTTCATAACTTACACCGTTGTCTTTAAGGACAATTTATGATAAATGTTTTTTTGTTGATCTGACATTATTGTGGAGTGGTGGGGGGTAGCTAACAAAATAATGCGTAGTCAAATTGCAGAGTGTGTTAGGAACGCGGCATCCATTTTATCGTTCTAACCGTTTTATCAATTAGACAGATTTTGCTTTTCAATATTGCGTTGTATTTAATGCGTCGAAATGATGTTTTTTTTCGCAACATAGGACCTGAAAAATCCCATTTAAAAAATAATGTATCGTATGATGATGATAATGATATGAATTTCTCATCTGTTTGCGTTCAGCGTAGTTTATTGCGTAATATTTTCTCTTGATCCAGGAGTTTCAAGTAAAACAGCCATCTCCAGTATATCATGCGACGTAGTGATGTTAGATCTGAAGAATAAATTAATCCCTTGTGGTTATTTTTCTTTGGTCACCCAGAATTAAGCGACATTAGGTTGCAAATCAATTAAAAAAATGTGTATGAGTAAATTTAGTGACAACTAGAACTGCAGAAAATAAGAAGCATTGGTTCGGATGGAAATTTAGGTAACCTACCTTGCATTCCGATTGAAACTTGTGGCTACAAGCTTACTATGCGGTACTACGTAATCTCCAGAATCCAAATTGGACCGAATCAGCCGTATGAGCCACCTCTATTGGTCATTGGCAAGCAGGGAAACGTGGCTCGTGATGCTGCTGCCTTGCGGATGAGACTCCAAGTCAAAGACTCGGTGGGGGTAGTGTGATCCTCTAAAACAACCACGTGCTTCGGCATGGGCACCCTCATACTAGTCGGCTTTGACGCATCCTCTTGGTGCCCTGTATATTATTGTACCAGGTTTTGTGTTTTAAATAAAATAGCAACCTTTGAAGTTCCATTAGTAATTTTGTTGTTTTCACGGGATGTGGGTGTTAATCTTGCGCTGTTTACCGAGCTTAATACCGGCTAGGCGAGGATCGAAAGTGTCTGCGTCGATAAGCGATCGAAGCTGGACTCTTCCCTTGTGGTTGACGAGTATTCAACCATTGAACCATTGGTGCAACGCCGATACTATTAGATATTAATATCTCCTTTTTGTTCAAATTAAATCTTACTTGAATAATATTTTGATAAAACTGTCTGACACTTTCGAACTTATTCTTCGGAATTCCTTGGCAGTGTCAGCTCTTAGAAGGCTACTGAATTATTTTCACAATATTCCTACAAATCTTCCTCGGTTTTGAAAGTTCTGTTGTGATATCAATTCGTTACTGTGTTGTGTGCTGCGACCACCCGCCTTTTTTGCCTTCACTCTCTCTGTTTCATCAAAGGTCTTTTTTTCTATAAAAGGATTTAATTCTGTTCACAAAGTGTTTTTTCCGTCAATTTTTCCTCTTCTCAATTTATTTTTTTTAAAATTTGATTTCTTTCATACTTTTACCCTTGCTTAGATAATAACTTTTACTACTGGTGCCGTTGCCGGGGCCGCCAGTAACAATCCGAATCAATTGATAGGCTTTACCAATACACCTTCTCAAATTTATCCCAATATCTATCATCAATTTGGTTCATCAAATTCAATAGTCTCTGGTCAGACTACACCATATATCTTAGGATCTTCTGTTTTCACGACAGCAACCACATCATTTCATCCTCAATTGTCGATGTCATCATCATCATCATCATCAAATATCTTGGTTGGATCATCTCCTCCTATACAACCATACTACTATCAACAGCAGCAACAACAACAACAGACAATAGGAACTGTTAATCCACTCCTCCCATATACGCCAACTTATGTTTATCAATATCCTGGTGGATTTATATAAGAGGAAATTTGCACAAAGGCAGGCTTGTTGTTGTGGTTGTTGTTGTCGTTGTTGTCGGTTTTAAAGTGAACAGCTTATCTTTTACAACTACCACTTGTAAATAGGTTCTTTGTATCAGTGTGTGTGTGTATATGTAGGCGCCAATACACACACACACGCAGTGGCGTGTCTCCCCTCTGATTTTAAACAAAATAATTAAACTTGATTGCCATCTTTGTTGAGTGTGTGTTTACCCGCCCCCCCCCGCCCTCACATTAGTAGTATTCCTTTTTATCCTAAGTCTATATTTTATTTTTGATTTCAATCAATCAGAATTTCCTCACTTGTAATTTGTTGTATTCAATAATTTTGTAAAAGCATTTGGATGAATCGACGCCGACGTTTTCCAAAAAAAAAATTAATCTTTCACCTTGTACACACACACACACACACAGACTCTGTCTCTACAACAGCTGTACTGTTCTCATCCTTACTACTTTCCACTACTACGACAACTACTACTACTAATATTGGTCTGTAAGTAGTATCGATAGTATTTGTAATATTCATTGGTATTCCATAGATAACGAGATGTATATGTATGCATCGGTTTTATCTACACTTGCATTTACTTTTAATATTATTATTATTAATATTATTAATATTATTATTATTATTTTAACTTTGACTTGATTTATATAATGAAATTAGGATATCTAGGGGTTTTCATATACTTTTACTTTCTCTTTGTCACAAACAGTTTATCTACTACAACACCTACACCCACACACGTACATGTTTTCTTTACAGCATTCAACAGAATGCTTAAATCCTTGCTGTGGTTGGTTGGGAGGGGGAGGGTACTTGTGTTCTTTTCTATTTGATCTACTTCTCTCTCTCTCTCGCTTTCTTTCGAACTGTATTTGTCTGTCCCCCTACAGAAAGACGAAAAACAAACAACCAGATGCAGTTGAGGTTTCCGTTCCTTATTCTCTTTCTTCTTCTTCCTCTTCAATTGGTTCCATCGTTAGTTAACTTGTTGTTAGTTTTCTTTAGTTTTCTTCTTCTGACGATGTTATCAAGTTCATATACATATAGTCTACATATATTGTTTTTATTGTTTTGTGAATAAAGATAGTTCTTTTATGGAGTTTATGTTGGTCAAATTGTTTGTTTTTTTTAATTTCAATCCTTTTTTTACAATTTCTTTACGAAGTAGTAGTTAGATGTTTGTATATTTCGATATGTGTGCATAATGAGAGTTGAAGATTTTACTTTTCAGTAGTATATTCTTGCGTCTGGTGTAATCAAACTGGTTGATTTATCAACAACTACAACAAAAGAAATCTTGGAACACGTCTACCGTAGTGAATTCTGATGACGGACTGGTTTCAAAATATAGAACTTTGTAAAGATAGATGTGCAGCAGTTCCAGTTGTCACTCTCCTTTCATGTGGCACACAAAGCAAGAGAAGAGAGTAAACGCAGAGAGAGAGTGAGGAGAAAAGAATACTAATATGGAAGAACAACAGAGTTTTATTGGATATGACAAATTACAAAGAGTGAATGCATCTGTGCTGTCTTTGAGAAGGAGGATTTTCAACCACATCACCAATTGTCTCCAGTCTTCGTTGATTCTTACCATCCCGATGACACCAACCAGCCAGTCAACACCTCCCTACGTGGTTGGCTGGCTGCCTTAAAGTAACGGTTATGGATTTATTGACCGGCTGCCTTTGCTATTACTTAGATTCATGTCTCTACAATCAGTAGATTCTTCACAGCATAAGCAGCCTAGAATTTAAACGTGGCGATATTGTGTTAACCAGTCTACTGAACTATTAGCTTTTATTGGGTGTAATGGACAGAACACATTCCGGTTCCGTAACTACTGCCGTATCAGCAGAATCTTAGAGAATTTAGTAGCGGATTTATTTTTTGGCGGAAAAATATATATACCTGTCTTTATATTAAAATAACCTTTCGCACATGTCCTGCGTATTGTCGGTCGGTCGGTTTTCGACATAGAACTTTGTACATATGTGCGGCAGTTCAAGTCGCCACACTCTCTCCATGTAGCACACAAAGTAAGAGAAGAAAGTAGGAGAAATGCATAATATAGACAGTAAACAGAGGTGTGAGACAAAGGAATAGTAATAACGGAGAACAAAACAGTTTAATTGGAAATCATAAGTCACAAGGAGTGGATGCATCTACATTAGCCATCGAGAACGATTTTGAGCCATGTCACCAATTGTTTCCAACCTTCATTGGTTTTTACCGTCCCGAGGACCCCAACCAGGAAGTCTACACCTTCCTACGTCACTGGCTTAAACTAACTGTTGTATCTTTCATTGACTGGTGCCATGTTTTGGTTTGACCGCCGCTAGCTCTTTTCCAGCCTGACCCTATATCAGCTAACATTGCCCACTGTCGAGGAAGGCGATGGCTAGGCCATGCCTGTGTAACACATGTCCTAACCATCTCAGTCGATGTAATTTCGCAGTCTCGTCAACTGATTTCCCCTCCTCACCTAGCACTCGACGCCTAACTTCAATATTGCTCACCTTATCATACCACTTCACTCGGGAGATAGAACGCAGATACCTATGATCGAAGACAGCTAATCTTTTCATGTCTTCCGCTCTCAATGGCCAGGTCTGACAGACATAAATGAGGACGGAGCGGACTGATGAGCAGTACACACGCCCTTTGGTCGATAGTCCCTGCGTTTTGTGCTTCTTTTATCTTTCTTTCATGTTTTCTATGTTGTTTCACCAAGGATCGTGCATTTTTCCATTTCGCCACTGAATTCATCCCTGCACTATTCAATATTCTTGCAGACGATATATATAATACTTGCAAAATCTTGTAAGTAGCACACGCCGCACCACAATCTCCTAAATCAAGTGAAGTAATGATATAATGCTGTAAATAAGTACAGAATTATTAGGCCAAGAGATAAAAGAGATGTGTCTATATACTGCTGATAATTCTTGTCAATAGCACATGCCACACTATGGTCCTCGTCTGCTTGTTATGGAATTCTTTTTGGCGTTTTTATGAACACCTTTTCGTGTTTCTTCTTTATAGACAATTCCATTGCCACTCAAGGGAATATGACTTTTTTGAAGGCTGCATTTTTTAAAAATATCTATGTATAATTAGCACCAATTACAGGGAATATAATATTGCGTAATAAGGACAGCCACTTGATGATGTTTTGGAATTTCCTCCATTCACATGGTTAGAATATTTTTAGAAATTCGCCTTTCCTCCTTACCTACAATTTTGTGATGTATGAGAATGTTGTTGGTGTTGTTGTTGTTGTTGTTGTTACGCCAACCTAACACAACAATGAATGACTTTTAAGGTAAAGTAACTGGCAAATAGTAAGGCTAAAGAAAGAATGTTGACACAAACTCTGGTTGATAACAATTATCCAAACAAGTTCATCAGGAGATATAAAGTAGTCAGAACTCCAAGACCCACTCACTCTACAACTCGCCCCTAAGAAAGACGTGTACATCAAGCTACCCTATATGGGGCATAATAGCAGCTTGATAACTAGACAAAGACTGAACGCTGCTGTCAAAAAGACTTTTTATCCAGCCAATATCATAATAATAGAGAATGTAAAGCCAATTTATCCATCTAAGCCCTTCGAACATGCGTAAATGACGTCACATCCCACTGTATTTACCAATTTGAATGTACATGTGGACACAAATACATAGGGTGGACTCATCGATCTCTGCAAGTAAGCGCTGGCTTCAGAGCATATTCGTAAATGGCTTCAAAAACAAATGGAATCTTCAGAAGCCATTAATGGTGAGAACAGGAGACCTAGCTCTTCTATTGCGAAACATATTTTAGAGACAGGACATAAAATTGACGTTAACACATCTTTTAAACCTATCTATAAAACGTGTTTGGGGCGTATCCTAAAGTTTGTGGAAGCCCGAACAGTTAGAAAGTTTAAGCCACCTTTATGCGTTCAAAAACAATGCGTCATCACATTAAACCTTCCTTGGTAAATTTTGTTTTGACACCATAGCAGATGTACTATTACCTGTGTTATTTGGTTTAGTGGTCTTCATTGTTACTTTGACCTTGAATATGTCCTTTTAACTTGACCTAATGCTATTTCCTTAACTCTATTAATTTCATATATGTACTCCTATGACAAGTCCGTGTGTGATCAGATTGTTCGAAATGTGCTGAGCACATACACTACACGATTCAGACAGATTAAGTCTTTTTATTACTTTGTCTAAATTAAGGCTTAAGTTATTTCTTGAAAAAGTGAATGTTTGAGGAAATAGCATTTAGTCAAAGATTTGGATGGAGTGCCCTAAGGGATTTGCGTTTTTGGAAGACAAGTATACAATTTGCGAAGTCTTAGAAATCCAGAGTATACTAATATGACTTATACTGTATCTATTATTGCTTGTTGCTACATAACTTCAAACAGATTACTAGAGAATGAATTCGGCTGTTCTTGAAGTTCAAATTACCAAGGACGAATACAGTACTTATGATTGAGGTGTTACTGAGTGAGTACAGGGTTATGTAATCACATTACAGCCATCACAACGTTGAATCCTTCAAACGTCAGGTGTCTCGTATGATACGCACCAGTAAGGATAGAAAAATCAATTTGTGAAGGTGAAATAGCTGAATAATCGAATTTCCGCTTGTAGATGTGGCAATCAAGAATAGAGATTGTGGGAAACCGGAAGTTTGGAACTCATCGCTTTTATGAGACACATGTTTTTGTCTTGTGATGCCACACCGCTTCGCTGTACACAGTTTTATTGGGTGTTCCAGATGAGGTGGAGAGTTCACATATCCATCATGTTTGTGAAATGTGTGGATTGTCACAAGCTACTGTGGCCGCCTTTGTTTCTTCGGAGCAGAAGAACAGACATTCATTACGATCTAACTGTATTGTTGGTCCCGGTCAGTCATTTTTTATTTGCTTCGTTCTAGGCTGTATGCATACAGAATATGGTGTAACGATAAACTTTGATTGGCGGTTTTGCTGTCTTGCTTCCAGCTAATATACAAATAGTGCTGTCATCGGTGGGTGAATAAAGATTATTGCTAACGAACAACAAAAGTGAACTAAATCATTGTAGTACGAAGGAAATAATCAAGTAAATGTGTAAGAAATTTCAGTTTTGAAGTAGGATTCTAGGAAACCAGTTGGTTACGCTAATTGAACTACTTCGAGCTTGTTCCCGATCGGCTCCAACTAGAAGTAAGTAACACTCACGACTGTTGTCTGTCCATCTGTCCCGCCTTACTTGAGCTTTGCCCACGCCACCTACTGGCTCTTTAGACTGGCCCACCTCACATGGTGGCCAGGCTACTGTTAACACCGCCCTAACTAGGGGAGAAACAACCACTGGCTGTTCAAGGGTGTATTTATTGGCGGTGTTTTGAAGATAGTGTAGAGACATAGAATCACACAGCGGCTCAATTTTTCATTGAAAACCCAACTATCCGCCATCTGATTAACTGAGCACAGAGACCGTCGATAGCGAAATGACTAGATTCAGTGTGTTAGTCTGACTTTTACTGTATCCACTAAGTTTTCTGTTACATAACTCGTAACAGATCGCTAAAGAATGAATTCAGTGGTTTTTGAAATCTCTTTTTGTTTGATTTCGGCTTTTTCTTTTCCCTCTTGATTTTCAATTTAATGTCAATGAATTGCGAATATCTTAGTCGAGGTTCAGTCATGTATGTTGATGTTTCTGTGCTTGTAGTTCTTCTGTTCAGTCTTCTATAGGTTTATGCCTTCGGTGATTAACTGAGTCATTTTCAACAGGATAGTTAGGTATTATGAGTTTATCTGACATATTTAATTTTTTCTCGTAGCCTAGATTTTATTACCTGAAAATGCAGTAATGGTTTATGATTGTTAATTCAAGACATTGGTTCAATCAACTGTTAGATCGTTTATTTCTCTGTTCAATGATTGAATTCCACCTCTGATTATTTGTATAAGTCTTAATAATTCAAAATATGTAACATTCTGAATTTTTTTATAAGTATCTCTTGACCATTTGACTGCCATTTATTGAAGTCTGATGCATTTTTGACCTATATACTTTTGTATTTATTCCGCCCTAAATAAAGCTTTCATGTGTACATACTTTTAAATACAGCGGCAAAGTGTGTGTGTGCATCGCATTAGTTAGTAATATACTGTGAAAATAACCTATGAACATTCACATTTTTAAGATTTATGCCTTCGAATTGTTTTCAAGTTTCCTTTTTCTCGTTCGTTTCCTTTCTGAGAAGAAAACAAACCTTCAAGTTTGAGTTTTGAAGTGTCAGTAGCGGTTGTGTTTTTATGGAGTACGCTTGCTAGCTTCACGCCTAGTTTTCTCTCTTTTTTCGGGAATAATATCGGCAGTGTGGTTGGCGACCATTCTGTTGCGGCAACACTGACACGCGTTCAATTGGTTGCGTGGCCCCTGGTTGTTCGAGCACGTAGGCGTCATGGCTGCACCCAGCACTGAGCTTCGATTGATGAAGACGGCAGGTCAGTATTAACTCCTAGGGAAGTAGTCACTTACCTAGTCGATCAGCCTCGTGAGAACAGAAGAGCCGTGGTTGGTTTCTGCCTGCGGTCTGGAGACGCAGCCCTCTTAATATTAGCTAATTAGCAATGTGCTTCATCTGAGTAGTGTATGACCGTTGTCCTAACACAGGAAAGCATCCGGACTATGCTATTGGTTTCAGGCATGAACTGAATAACATGAGCCTTGGCGAGCTGGATGATGTCTGCTGGGTTACTGGTATTGTGTTTGCACGGTACTTAACTTCGGAATGAATGTGTGACCCTTGGTTAGGAGTGCCTTTAGCAGGTATTGTTTAGTCATTGCTCATCCGGGCTTGTCTTACCACCTAGGGTAATGGTCGTATGCTTCTTAGCGAGGTGTTAGAGTGCATTTGTTGAGAATATCCCTGAGACATAACATGTCCATTGAAATATGTGCGCTAGTATTCACCACGTAAGTAAACGTCTCACCCATGGTTGAGTCTAGACAGTGGGGTGTGGGTGCCTAGCATAAGGTAACCCATTTCCATGGCATGCATGTTACTTAACTGATGTTGCGTGCCCTGCCACGAGAGTGGACTCTCAGTCCTAAGGTGTTCACCTAATACACCACCACTCGATCTAAGCCTACATGAAATTTGCCGTAAAATGATATAGCTGGTTTCCTTTCACAGAATATACTGTCCTTATTATCCTTATGAATGCTTGTGTTTTCAAAATCTTTCTGGTTAGTGAAAAGTCTGGCAGTGTATTTGACGTAATTCTCTGTGATCCTTAAACGTTGAATATTTCAGCTTGGATCATTAATCCACCTTAGTTTCGAATCATTATCTTTTTATTCCTTTACGATCCCAGTGGAGCATAGGAGTCTTCAAGTTAGAGCTTTGAAGTTTAAGTACGGGCTAGGGTTTCCAGACTTACGCCCAAACTTCCCTCTTTACCGGTCGCACTACTACCGGCTAAGCGAGGTAAGGAGCGAGTCCATCGCCAGAAGATCCAACGCTGGACCACTTGATTGGTTGGTTAGTGTTATACCATCGAACCACTGACACAATTTTCGAATCAGAATAAACTCTAATTGAAAGTAAACATTTGTATCGATGTGCTGTAGATATTCGGATCATGTGCTGGTAGTGTTGTTTAAAATCTGTCCCTTTGCATCTCCCATTTAATAAATAAGTGCGTTGCTCATTGAAAGCCAATTTTAGTATTTGATAATGTTTCAGTGCTTAAAATGATCGCTTGCAAGAATTGCAATATTATTGCTATTTGTGCGAACTGCTATTGCCGAATTTATGCTTATACTGGTTTCACCTCATACCTAAACATCTCATATATTACACCTGAAGCTTGCGAGATTCAGCTGGCTTTCAAATGTCTAGTGTTTCGTTATTGATGTCGGTAGAGGAAGGGGAAACAATGAGTTTTTATCCAGTGAAAAAGTCATCTTCAAAAGATGACGTGTTATATGATCTTGAATAAACAATCGATAATCAAATGCATCATGCAAAAGTGATACAGATTCCTGAGGACTGATACTAATTTAGGTGTGGTAAACTTCTCATTTTCACCAAGTGTATTTTCTTACTATGCTTCTATTACATAAATTTTCATAATATTAGGTTAAAAAATTGAGTAGAATCATCCATCTTGACATCAAACGATAATGTAACCCTGAGTTTGTGAATAGCAGCAGAACGATCCGTCTGCCCCATGCTTCGTGGAGTTCTCTATAAGATTTCTTTGTTCTCGCTATTTGTGGAGCTAGAAACTTTGTTAAGATTTACAAATCTAGGAGGTCAAGCAACACTAGTCTTTCTTCACTTGCTCAAACAAGTCGATGCACATCAACTTTATTTATGAATGAAACAGTTTATCAATAAATAATTTCTCTGTTATACAAGCTTATTTGAATAAAATAAAATATGCAATTCAGAGAAACAAGATGGCGATGGTATCATAAGGCTGTTAGAAAGTCTGATTCTGCTCCTACATTATGGTGAAGATATGTGGATGATTTATTTACCGTATTGAAATCTAAATATATCCCTAAGTTCTTTACACATTTAACTCAGTAGTAGTAGATAGAATTCTACTCACTTTGGAGCTAGAAAATGAACAAAATGAGTTAATTATGCTAGACTGTAAGATGAAGCGAAAATCACGTTGTGAGTTACATTCTCGCGTATAAAGAAGGCCTTCATATTCTAATGGGTGCTTAGGCTTTGATTCATCTCACTCAGAATCGATAAAGGTAGATTTAGTTTAGTGTTTAGTTAATTGACCAAGAGTTCAACTAGAAATTTATTAATTTTAAGTAATTAAATCGTACAGATGAAGAAAACAATACTAGTGAATACCAAGAAGATTTTTACTAAAAAATATATGAAGGCCCATAAGAAAAATAAAAGCAGAAAAAACAGTATAAATAGTCAGAAATTCATAGTCTCAACAGCAAAATCAGAAGTCCTACGTATGATTTTTTATTAAGGCTGGGATTAGGGTGCCATTCGAACCAAATGACACACTCTGAGACAAACTTTGTCTTATGAAACACCCGACAAATCCGATTTAGTGAAATAATGTAATTTCACTGAATATCATATAATGGCTCTGTGGTCAGTCTTGTGTGTCATATTGTTAGTCACAGGTTAGTTAGGTTTTCGGAACGTAGGAATAGTGTGGAGCATGGTGAAAGTTTTAGAAAGTAATATGGTTAGATGAAGAGAAGGGTTGCTTACCGAGTCTTTGTTCATCAAATCAAAACCGAACATGTGCAACCAAAACGATATTTCGCCTCTATACCAGTTACATGGAAAATTACAATAAATAACAAGGGGAAGGGTAAAAGACATATTAAGCAATTTATGAATACGCTGACATGATTATGAGCATTAAACTATGCTCAATAGGTCACCCGATCTAAAATTTGGTATAAATGTGTGTTGCATTGGTAAAAGTAAACTAATATGGGATAATACCGTACAAACGTGCTCAAAATCTAATCGTACATTCCTCAACAACTTCAAAAATGTGAAGGAAATCCTTTACCTATCATATTTGCAGTTTCACTGAGTTTATTGTGTATGTTCTTCAGTAATCTTTAAATTCCACATATAGTGTTCATTGAAATTTACTGTACAGGATGTGATAAGGTCAGCTCCCTCATACACACTCGTCACAATGAACAGTGTTTTTGAAAATGACTGTGTATTCTTTCTATCAAAGTTTTACTTAAAATATAGTAATATTTTTCACAACGAAACGGTGAAATAACATTAGAGTGCAAATATTATTATCAATCTTCGAATATGATATAAATAATAGTTCGTCCTGTAAATCTGTTATCAGTTTTAAGCTTTTACTTGAGTTATTTTTGAACAAAATCAGTACGTTTTAGTGCCTTTCTATCCGTAAGTTTGACCTTACACTTCCGCTGAAAACCACCCACATATTCATTACCTATGCACAAAAAGCAATATACTTCTCAGGAATCTTTATTTTAACAATGTTTTATTTCTTTGTTTTTCTGCTTGTTGCTGGTTTTGCTGTAATCGGCAACTTTTTGGCATGCTTCTTCTTAGAAAATCTATCCGTCTTGTCGTGTAAATTCTGCAGTATTAGCTCTGAATTTTATAGTAATTGTTAAAAGTCTGATTACCTGTTAAGTTTGGGTAATGTTGCTCAATATTCTCGAGAAGTGGACGTATATTAACTTGCTGATCCGCTTTGTCTTCTCACTGCTAAAATTCAATTTATTGGTTTACCTTCAATGGCTACAAGGATGTAAACAGCACCACCTTCTAAGTTTTGAATGGATTGCTGGTATATTTGTGCATCAGTAAGGCCTAGCAATCTTCCCGATGTATCACACAAATCGAATGTCACTTATATAGATAAGTGAGAAAAAAAATAGCCACATACTTTCAGGATCTATTTCGCAAACAGTGATGATATGATTAATTAATATTTCGAAAGAACACCACATATTTACCAACGCCTTCTTATTATCTTTGAAAATTTTCAAACTTGAAACATTAATTACCCCCAAACCTAATCCATATGAAAGGTCTGCTGCTTTCTATCATACTGTGTAGTTTTCAGGGATGATCCTTTCTTAACCTTGTGTATGGAAATCTAAAGACCGCAGATTAACAAACTTCTACAGCACAGTGAATCTATTCTTACTCTTCAGTTTATATATACGTGTAGCTCCCAACACCTTCCTAAGAGTAACAAGTTATTTAGTTGCATGTTTTTGAAAAGAAGTAGATATGAAGGACATACACCTACAAATATAATTGTAATATAATTTAAGCAAAGAATAATGAGTAAAATTCCGTCAGGGAGTACCGCATTTCGCAGCCAGAAATATCCATACTACATGTGTCTTTGGCGAAAGATGTTGATGTGAATTTATTTTGTCTATTTTAAATGCGTAAAGTCTGCAAGTGATTTGTCAGAAACAGACATCGATGTCTATCTTTAAAGAGATCACCCAAAGATTTTTATAAGAGATACATGGCAGTAGTAGCATACGTGTGGTTCTACAGTGTTGAGGTAATACTTATTCTTCTGAGGTATAACTACATTATATCTAGTTGTACAATCATGATTGTAAGAAAGTCAAAAGTTTTCGTAGCGAATAATGCATTATTCGCTACGAAAACTTTTGACTTTCTTACAAAAATTGTTAGTAAATAAGGACGTGTCTGATATTGGAATAAAAATACCATGTATTTCACAGAAGAATTAATAGCCAATATCAGCATAAAAATTATACACCTAGTGTGACAACAATTTCAAAAGTTTGTAGATGTACAACCATAGCAACATGGGATTAAACAAGTGTCCAATACCCAATATCTTTTTCTCGAGCCAGTATGAACCATTTTGATTCTTTTCTGATTGTGAGGTGAAATTTCCTGGTCTTTGGTAAACTCACGCGTAGTTCAGCATGCCACTCGACTATCGTAGCTATGGTTGACTCCGAAAGGAGTGATGCTATGATTAATTATATGTTGTTGTGTTGACTTTATTGCTACTGTGAGTGGAGTTGATTCTTTCTCCAGTTAGTCCTCCGGTTTAGTCGTCAAAAAAGAGATAATAATAACAGATATAATTAGAGTATGTTACGCAGACTAAAATGCAGAAAAAGAAATAAAAATTATGTAAAAACAGACAGTTAATTAAATTTGAAGTTGATATACATATATAAACATAAACAATTATATATGTATAATGATAATAACAATTATTATAAGTTTAAGCGTAGTAGTTGGAGTAGTCAGGAGATTAAGACAAGAGAAAATGTGAAGAAGTGAAACGACGAATTTAGATGTCTACGCAGGAATGGTGTATAGGATTTTAAGGGGATAGACCATCTTGATGCAATCACTGTGTCGCTGCATGATTGTCCAGCCTTTGTTAAAAGCTGTCCACAGAAGGTGCGGACGGGAAACCTGCAGTGAAAGGAAGTGAAGGCGCACCCAATACTTGCGCTCAGGTGGGCTAACACTTGGGGATTTCTACGAGGAAGCCCATACCGACTCAGTGGTGGAACATCTTTGTTTAGGTGATTCTGGTCATTTTTTATCTTGTAAACATTAAGCAATTCCACCTTTAAGCCAACGGAAGCTAAGTGTGAATAGGCATTGTTTCTTTAGCCTGTCTGTCTGTTTTCAACATAGACCTTTGCATCGATGTGCAGCAGTTAAAGGTTGACACACTCCCTCCATGTAGCACACAAAGCAAGGGAAGAAAGTAGAAGAAATACAAAGTAGAGACATTTGACAGGGCTATGAGAAAAAAGGAATAGTGATATCGAAGAACAACATAGTTTCTTTGGAAATTATATGTCACAAGGAGTGGATGCATCTGCACCAGCCATTGAAAATGGTTTTGGGCCATATCACCGATTGTCTGCAGCCACTGGTGTTTACCGTCTTGAGGACCCCAACCAGGAAGTTTACACCTTCCTACGTCACTGTCTTAGGCAAACTGTTGTGGATTTCATTGACTGATGAGGCCATGTTTTGGTTTGACCACCAATGACTCTTTCCCTGCCTGACCGTATGTCAGCTAACATTGCCCACTGTCGAGGAAGGCGATGGCTAGGCGTGCGTGACACATGTCCAAACCATCTCAGTCGATGTACCTTCACAGCCTCGTCTATTAATTCCCCCTCCCATCTACCTAGCACTCCACGGAAGCCTAACATCAATATTGCTCACCCTGTTATATCACTTAACACGGGAGATAGAACGCAAACACCTATGATTCAGACAGCTAGCTAACTGGTCTTTTCATGTTTTTCACTCTCAATGGCCAGGTCTCACAGCCATAAAGGAACTCGGGACGTGCTTTGGTTGAAAGCCAGCTGGATATCACGTCTACGCCAGAGACGGCGTAAACCGGCATATACGAAACGAGCTTTCTGTTTCCGTGCTGGGATTTCGTCAGCGATCAACCAATGTGCTCGGGCTGATGCAACTTCCCAAATCAGTGAAGTGGTCAACACGCTGCACCAACCACTTCACTGCCTATTTCAGACTGTTGAAAGCTTTAGTAACCACAGTTAGGGACGGAGGACCTGTGTCTATATCCCATTCAGCGAGCTTTTGGATGTCCACTAGGTTGAGCATGGCTGTAGGCCAATTAAACTGCTCCTCAAAGTGTTCTTTCCAGTGTTCCAGTCGTCTATCCTGGGAGCTAATTATGGTGCCATTTTTCTCAGAGACAGTTTCGCTTATCACTTGCCTTTTACCAGCTATTGCCATGATAAGTCTAAATAGTTGTCTGGTGCTACCAATCGCCGTTGCCTTTTCCATCCCCTTCGTTTTTTTCGCCCACCACTCTTCACAGTTGTCACGAAGACTTCTTGTTAGTTTGCGTCTGAGTAGCTTTCGCTCCTCATCATAATCGGAGCTCGCTGGAATCAGTCTTATTGCGTCAATCAGTTCGGATAAGGTGGTAGAGATCCAATGGCTCTTACTAACTTTTGGTTTTAGGTCATTCACAGTGTGTACATATGTGTCTACATTTAACTGTGTGCTGTGCCAGGCTACCTCAGCAGGGACCCTGTTGTCGACTTCAGATGCACGTTTCATCTCTTCTTCCTTATATAGGGACTCAGTGTCTCTATCTGTTTGAGACTTAACTGTTTCCCTGCCGGCAATTTCTTATGTCCGTTTAGTCATGAGCATAAACGTGCGCAGACCAGAGCGTGATCACAGTCTACTCACGTGTTCCAAAAGGAGCGGCAGTCTTCTATTGACCCTCGCCAACGATACCCTATGGCTATGTGGTCCATCTGAGTCCAGCGTTGATTTGGTGATGGAGGTCGCCAGGCTACACAATGTCTGTGTTTGTTTCTAAAGTTAGTGCTGATTAGGAATGGATGATTATTTCAGCAGAACTGTAGAAGTCGATCACCGTTGCCGGTTCGTCGGCAGGGAACTCCATTCGTGTTACCTACATACCTCTCACTCTGGCACAACTTCCCTACTTGGGCATTGAAGTCGCCTACTGAAACAACTATATCCGAACGTTTTGCTTCCTGCCGAAAATTTAAAGTTTTTGGTAGTCATTCTTTAGTTCATCCGAACTGCAGTCTGTTGGGACGTAAGCGGAGACAACGACGGCTGACGCCGTCCCTCCTAGTTCAGAAGGACCGCAAACATACGACTGTCTACTGGGATCCAGTCATGAAATGATTTTTCCGCCCTAACACTCAAAGTGACCTTACACCTGCGAGTCCTCGCGAACTAGCTGATATTCTTAAAGTGGATTTCGCAGATTCACCGTGTTGGCCTGGTGAGGTTAAGTGAATGACAACACTCGGGTCTTTTATGCGTGTCTCCGAAATACAACATACATCCATGGCTCGATAGGCCAGAGTTCTTGCTAGTGATACCCGTTTTCTGATTTGACAGAGGGTCCTGACGTTAAATGCTCCTATATGAAGTTGGTGTCGTGTCTTTAAGAGGCTGTCGCGGGTGATTTTCTATGGCCCTCATCGTTTTTTGCGGTCACAGAGTGAAGTGAAGATGACTCACTAGCCTGAAGAATTGTACCAACTGTTGTAGAGGAATAAGATGATGAAGGTGATGTGGGTCCACGAGGATGCTGCTCAGGAAGGCTTCGTGTGCATTTGGAAGTGTACTGATTGTTATTACTTCCCTGCTGCCCACATCGTGGAAGTACCTGAAACAGAAAGAGGGTTAGTGTTGTGTGACCACACAGTCCAGAGGCCATTCACACACGGCCTGTATGAACTGGTTTCTTGGCTTGGTTCCGTATTAGTAAATTTACCGCCAGCTACGGACCTCCGTAAGGTAAGTTTAGGTGTACAATTTTTGGGGTCGACGTTTTCTCACCCCTTCCTCCAGGATGGAGAGACAGCGTAGATGGCGTGCTGGTCATCTAAGATGTTTCACCTTACTCCTGTTACACCCCTGCTCCCCAGCAGCACGACTTCGCCAACAGAACCCTAGCACAGTGGAAAAAATTCTAACAGAGTGCTGGTAACTGCTTTTAGCATAATCTCTATCCTAATAGCCTTCCTAGCATGGTAGGACCTGCAGTAACAATAATTTCATTTAGTTTAGCTTGTTGGGTCATCGTAATGTGCAAGTCCGACCACCGCGTAAAGGTGGCAGCTGTCAGTTATGAATTTCATGAGCCTTTCGTCATACAGTTTATTTCGGAGACCAGCCACTCATTTTCTCGCTGTCAATAGACTCTCTCCAAGAGGTTTGCGTCTCTTCTAAGCGGTGAGAATGTAATGATATTAGGCACTTCAAGGTGTGGTCGAACGCATATTTTGTACAACCTTGGAAAGAGCTCAAGAGTGAGTGCACCTAACTGTCCATGTGTAAGGCCTATGACCGCATATGCCCTCGCTACATCCCGCCTAATTTACGCTTGTGTCCATTTTTGGAAGTAGACTTAAGTCACGCTCCAACGTTGTGCCAGACAAGCTTTCGTTGCACAGGGTGTAAGTTGCATTCTGCAGCCTACAGGTGCGTGATTTCACTACTTTGTTCTTTTTCAGGTTGAAAGTCATACCACTTGCCAAAGCATAGTCTCTCAGAAGATTTAGATCTCCTCGCAGCCTATCTGAGTCTTCCGAACACTTACAGCTCCCCATGTCCTTACGTCGTCAGCGCATAGAAGAGTCGAGCAGCTTATACTGCATAGTAGGCCATCGGTGGAAATCAAAAACATCAGTGGTCCTAGGATAGAACTTTGTGGCATTCCTGATGACGAGCCATTTCAAGATGATCACACTTAGCTCAGAATTTGCTTTAAGATATGTAGTCCTTCAGCCATGGCAGAAGAGTCTCAACTAAACATGGTTGACTTATTTTGTGTAGGAAAAGGTCAGGGTGGACTTCGTCAAGTACCCTTTAAGAGTATAGGAAGACCACATGCAGTGGAAGATTCATATACCAGCGTATTGTCCAAATGTCCTTAGCTGATAGTAAGCTTGTCCCACGGGGACTCCTGTATTCGAAATCGTTTTGAGCTTCACAAAATCGAATTATTCCATCCACGAGCTCAATGACGTGATGATCAATGATAATTTCTAGCAAATGTGGTACCATTGAAAGAAGGGCTACTGCTCTAAAAATATTGGCATTTTGCTTATCCCCACCCTTGAAAATCGGAGAGAGGATGGCTTTATTCCACTTCCTTGGCAGTTCCCCCGAATCTATCATGTGTCGGAACAAATTGCATAGGCGCCTACAGAGAGCTTTGGTGATTTCGTAGCAAACTGGGGACTTTCTAGATG